AAGAAAATTGTGTATTTTTTCAATATTTTTATTGCTTTGGCTGATATCCTTGTCTTGGCCTTACTTGGTTTGCTTTTAGTTATGCTTGGTTTCTTTGCATTGAGTGTTCCAGATGAAATTTCATACAACAGGTGGTCGAAAGTCCGAACCTTACGGTTCCACTTGCAGATGGGGCAGCACAATCGGCAATTCAGTACTTCGAGAATATGAGAAACTTCTTAGTTGCTGTTAAAGAGTTGAAGCTTTTAACTTTTGAGGCATCTGATCTTGAGAAGGTGCATTATTTAGTTCTCTGTCTTTCTCGCACACAGACACGTGCCCCACGTGCATATACACACAATCTATTCACATATCTATAAGGAGTCTAACAGGATTGTCAGAAAATCAGTGGCATGCTTCATTGGCAAGGGTGGTAAATTCTCATTGGAGAGATTATGTTCTGGCTAACTATTTTTCTTTTCTTCTCACCTGGTAAGACTGAAATACAATTTGTCCACCTAATGACTAATATCCCCAAAAAAATATTTGTCTAGAAGCGTGGAACAACGTTTTGCTTTACTACATTTTCCAAACAACAATCTTAGAAATCCTGGTTTCAAAAAATAATTTGCTGGTTGATAATAATTACATTTATCAGTAATGGCTATTGTTTACATGTGTTGCACGCATGCATGTAGACATACACAATGCACTCCTGCACGTGGTTGTCAACTACACAGACCCCTCCGAACCCCAGCAAAAAAATAAAAATAAAAAAAGAAAATACCCAGAGAGAGAGAGAGAGTTGTGAAACCATAAGTTATCTTTTTCATTCTACCTTTTCTTTTCCAGGGGGGTTCCTCAACTAAGGTTGTCGACTGCATTCTTTGTCTGAAAGGATTCCACGAGTGGAGACAAGCTGGTTGCAATGGAATATGGAGGTTTGGTGGGATCACAAAGACCCCATGGTCCATCAGAGGTCTACCATCTTCTTGTCAAGGTGCTGGAAATATGGTTGAGCCCTCAGAGAATTCTAGTCTGCTATGTGAAGGACGCCTGTCTGAATTGTTGGATCTCTCTAGTAAAATCTTCCTTGAAGAATCCAACACTGGTGTTTATTTGAGTTCTTTATTTGATAGATTTGGATTTAAGCTCCTACGAACTCTCTTATTAGACATGAAAGATTCTGAGGATTTTACCTTGAATGGAATGGTAGGTAAGATTGGCTGCTTTAAGGTACCTTTTTTAAGTTCATTCCTTTAGGAATGGACCCTTGGCTAGGGTGGTCAAGGTGGCAGAGCCACAATATGACGTCAAGGGTTCTGTTCCTAACCTGTGAACATGTCAAAAAAAAAAAAGAGAAAAGAAGAAAGAAAGAAAGTGTGCATCAAGTATGTTTTGTAAATGAACATGTGAACTCCTATTTTGGGCTGGTAGGTTCATGTTTTATTTCTATATGGGTAGTATTTAGTCTGCAACAACTTGTCACAATTAAGGTTGTTCTTGCTACATATGCAGCTTCTCGACAATGTTTTGGGAAAAGTCACCAAAGAATTTAATGGCATGCTTCTCAACCGTAGTAACCAGGTGATCCTAATGATAAAAAATTTGCAAGTATGGTGTCTCTTTTTATAACAGACTTCAAGACATCTAACATGCACATATAATTGATTCCACAGGTGCGATTGCTTCTTAAAGACACACTCAGAGGAGATGATAATTATTTCTCAAAGGACGAATTTTTGGAGGCATTTTCAAGATGCCTTGATTGGAAGCCTATCGAAGCTCTTGCAGATGGATTGAAAAAGTGCTCTTGTGGTGGTATGAGAGGAGAAAACCAGAGTAAGGACCATAAAGGAAGCATCCATGAGCAACAGATTGACCGTCAGCAGAAAGAACTTGGGGTATGAAAATCAAAACAATTTCATCAATTTTTATGCTTTGTCTCAAGCTTTGATTTCTAACTAGCTCTTCTTCTTCTTCTCTTGAGCTATTCATTCCTTACGTGCTTTGTGTGTACATTACGTGGTTAGCCATCGTCATGCATGATCACATGTAAAATTCCTCCTTTAACTGCACTGTTCTTTTACTTAGTATTCCATGAACAGCTGATAAGCAATGGAATGCTTTTTGGAACTTTGGATGCCAAGTATTTATGTATTCAGTCAAAAATTGCTTTTGTCTCATAAACCTGATCCATTGGTTTATATTTGTCCGTTCCCATTATTGTAAAGTTTGGATTTTCTTGTGTCAACTTATTTGCCTTAGGTCTATTCTTTAAGATATGTGAATACAGTCTCTGAATAGTGGTAATCATCAGGAGATTAAATTCTGGTACAATGAGACAAAGGAGCAGCTACTGTGCTTGCAATCAAATTGGGAAGACGAGTTAAACAACCTTGGTAGAAAGTCTGACCTGATCTATTGATCTTAATCTTGCACTTGTCATTCAAAATTTCTGGAAAAGAACATCGTTTTTAAATCTAATAAAGGACACCTGTTTTCTTCTTCACTATTAGACCGCCATATCCATGGCCTTGCAGCAGCTGCATCTTCCTACCATAAAGTGTTAGAGGAAAATCGTCAGCTCTACAATCAAGTAATGGACCTGAAAGGTATATGATTTTTCCTAGTTAAATTCTCTCCCAATAATTTGAGAACTGGCTGAAGTCTATGAACTTTATTGATGTTCTAAGCTAGCACTAAGTGAGATTTTTCTGCGTTATTTTTCCACAGGGAGCATAAGGGTCTATTGCCGCGTGCGGCCTTTCTTGCCTGGGCAATCTGATGGGCAGTCCACTGTAGATTATATTGGAGAAAATGGGAATATTATGATTGTTAATCCTGATAAATCTGGTAAAGATGCAAGGAGGATGTTCACATTTAACAAAGTCTTTGGAACCAATGCAATGCAGGGTAGGTTTTGCAATTTCATTATTTTTATGTTCATAAACCACTGAAATAGGTTAATTTTTTTCTTGAACTATGAAATATGTTGGTATTTATAATTCACCAACGGACTCAGATTATACAGAAATGACTTAAAAGTTCACCTCTTGATTTTCATTAAGCACAAAAATTTGGCATTAATTGAGGAGAACATTTGAGTGGTAGAGGGATGAGGACGAGCTATAGAAAATCTGTTCGACCTCTTGGGTTCCTTGATTTGAGCTATAATTACAAAGTAACTGGAGATTATTTAATTGAACTCCCATATAAAAACTGATCCAAATTTATATGAAAATGTCTAAAATTCCCCTATGGAAAGAATATTAACACTCTTCTTCAAGTGGGATAACTATTTTAAACCTTCATGGTTGTTTGCATTGTTTCTTATGGTGATCTATTCTGTTGGCAGATCAAGTATTTGCGGACACACAACCATTGATTAGATCAGTTCTGGATGGATACAATGTCTGTATTTTTGCATATGGCCAAACAGGGTCTGGAAAGACATATACCATGGTAATTTGAAGATTACAATTCTCATTCAATCTATTATCGAGCTAACCAATCACATGGCAGCTACAACTTCTTGTGATGATTTGCCACATGGTTTACACTTTCATGTTCTTATATGCAGACGGGCCCAGAATTAATGGATGAGGATACATGGGGGGTGAACTACCGAGCTCTCCGTGATCTCTTCCAAATATCAAAGGACAGGATGGATGTCATAACATACGAAGTCAGTGTACAGATGATAGAGATTTATAATGAACAAGTTAGAGATCTACTCGTGGCTGATGGTTCCAATCGAAGATATCCTTTGAAATACCATCTGATTCATTTGTCTACGTTACAGTTTTAGGTTGTGATAGATTTTGCTTCTTGTTAACCATTTGTTCCCTGACTAGAATTGACTATTTTTTGAGGCCTTATCCCTAGTCATATAAAACCTAAACTTTATATAAATTGCAATTTACTACATTTTGTGAAATTTTCATAGAAGTGCTCCCAAGATTCTAATATTATTAGAGATTCCCTTAATCTGACTAATCCCTACATTTTTTCCTCCTAATTCTTGACAATATTTGAAATATTTTCCTTGACTTCTTGCACATTAGAGATACGAAATAATTCCCAAATAAATGGTTGCAATGTACCTGATGCAAATTTGGTTACAGTAAGATCAACGCAAGATGTTCTGGATTTGATGAAAATGGGTCATAGAAATCGTGCAGTTGGAGCAACTGCTCTGAATGAACGAAGCAGTCGTTCTCACAGGTACCGCTTATGCTTTGGCATCTGTAGTTGAATTGTCATGTCTGTGCCTTGTGTAGATAGTTTACATCCACCTCTTATGTTTTCCTTTTTGTGAATAAGAAATGATGTACTACCTATACGAAGTTTCAAGTGAACACATTCCTGTCCAGGTCAATTGGTTCAATTCAGTTCTATATGTTTAAGTTTCTTTATGAGTTTAGCTATTTTTGTATTAGTCCGCGGTAATTGGGGTGGAACCAACTGGACTTTGGAGGACATTTCTAAATCTAAATTCTATTTCATCATTTCACATTAATCAATGTAGTTTTTGTAACTAGTGAATATTCCGAATAATTAAGAGATATGAGAAGAAATCTAAAATGTTTAAATCCAATCTCTAGATGGAGTTCAAATGTCTCAGCTCTTCATTTATCCCACAGTTTTTGCTGAAAAAAACAGAGGCATTCAGTTTGTTGATCAACCTTTATTGTACAGCGTGTTAACAGTCCATGTCCAAGGGACAGAATTAGCCTCTGGCTCAATCCTCAGGGGATGCCTTCATCTCGTAGACCTGGCTGGTAGTGAGAGAGTAGACAAATCTGAGGCAGTTGGTGAAAGATTGAAGGAAGCACAACATATCAACAAATCACTCTCCGCCTTAGGAGATGTCATATCTGCCCTTGCACAAAAGAGCACCCATATTCCATACAGAAACAGCAAGCTCACTCAGTTACTACAAGACTCCTTAGGTAACATCATTCAAACCTCATTTAAGGGTCTTGAGTTGGAATAGTTCTAAAATACCCACAACATAACATATGGTCTTAAGTTGGAATAGTTCTAAAAGGGTAAGTCATTGAATAGTTCGTCTCTTGTTGGTATTTTCATAAATTTCCCCTCATTTAATTATATGTTCCTGTTTCTAGCTCAAATTGGCTGTATTGTCTATTATTTTGCTTTGTTTTTTAATTTTGTTTTATATTTCAGGTGGGCATGCGAAAACTTTAATGTTTGTCCATATAAACCCAGAACCAAATGCCTATAAAGAGACAATCAGCACACTGAAGTTTGCTGAACGTGTCGCATCAGTAGAGCTTGGAGCAGCTTCTTCCAACAAGGAAAGTGGGGAAGTGAAAGAACTTAAACAAGAGGTTTGTTCTTATGCTTGATGCATTGAGTTTGAGTTGGATTTTAATCAATCATTTTGGCAGAAAGATTTGTTATTAATCCAGTCACTAGTAATTTGTGAAGCATATTTTTGTATTTAACTGTACCATCCAAACATATGACAAGCCTTGATCAGCCATCTTGCCCTCCTCTACCACGGTTTTCAAGATTTGACTTCAGCAAATTTTTGGATAAAATTAACCAATGGCTATTTTCTTTTTAACATTAGAATCCCCTTGAATCAAGCATTTCAGCAATATTCATATTATGTTCATTTGAGATCAGCTGAAACAGTAATCATGGCTCACAGAATTTTGGTGAATTTCAGTTTGAATTCATCTGGAAATTTATGAAATTGAAAATGTTGTGATGCATTCTTAGCTGAAACTCGGATTACAACAAATTTCAAGTAGAGCTGATCAAACATTTACCCCCAGGTTTAACCACTTCATTTGTCAAACTTTTCAACATCTTGCCCTAGATTCTATCCGTGATTGGTCAAATTTTTGGCCATTTCCTAAAAAATTGTTCTCTTCACTCTTTTTGGCCTATCAGTATTAGCTCATAGATCTCAATTTATTCCTTTGTCAAGCAATGCCCATTGCATGGAACCAGACAATATGATGATTTCATGCCATTATCTCACTCGACAATCCTTTTATAATTTGAGACTGTTTCATGCGCTTGGTTCAGATCTCAAATCTGAAGTTGGCATTGGAGAAGAAAGAAGCTGAAGTGGAGCAATTGCAAGGAAGTAAGTACAGTAGGAGCAGTTCAGAGACTCAGAGGACCAGAATCGCAGTGTCACCAATAAACTTACAGAGACAAGCCAGTTCTGCAAGCTCAAAACCAGAACACAACTTGCAGACCACACCAGTTGAATTTGGAAGCATTGAGGTATGTCATAAAAATTTCATATATTTCCCTCTCCCATATCTGTCTGATGACATTGTTAAAATTGTGAATGCATTGTTTAGAGACAAGCCAGATCTGCAAGCTCAAAACCAGAACACAACTTAATTTTCTTCTATTCGTGACATTGTTAGAATTGCAAATATATTGTATATATACTCAGGTGAGACTGCTCCTTAGCGAATTTATGAAGCCTGGGTTCAGCTAGGACATGGTCATAGACAAGGCATCAGTACTTAGGGTATTGAAAATATTGAACACAAATTTAATACCCATTCCTCAAAATCTGTACATCACAAAATTAAAATGTTGAGACTTTTAACCAACTATCTACAGCAACAGCGGGATCCCCTCATGCATTGAAATCTTATATAAATTCAAAATAAACATTATTGCTCCTATAAAATACCCAATTCACCCCACCTTAATCCTTCATTCTATGTTAGCTTTATTCTTTGAACATATAGGTTTGTCACTATCATTTTCATGCTTTTTATGTTTCACAGAAACCTCCAGCTATCATTATAACTGCCTTCTTTATAGATGGATTGACAAGTTCTTTCCTTTGTTGTCAATCTCTACTAGGTGAGAAGCCATTCTTCAGGGAAGCAGCGAAGACCTCATCATCAACGTGGATACTCAGACAAAGAACTCGATCTGATCTCACCCCTTGTAGCCCCTGAGAGCCCTTATAACTCTCGAAAGCTAAGGTCTCCATCACCACCAATACGAAGATCACTATCAGCTGACCGTTCTGCCCTAAAAAGCAGAGCAGAGCTTGAAACTCGAGGAGACAAAGGCATCAACAAATCCATGGCGATTCCTTCAACATGTAAAGTTTCGGAGCAAAGGGGGTGGGCTCCACAAGATCTGGCCAAGCAAGATAGCATCTCCGATATGTTCTACCAACTCTGTAGGTCAAACAACCCAAGGAAGATCTACCCAGAGGAGGAAGGGCAAGAAGAGGAGCAATTCAAGGTATGGTTTTAAAGAATAATGTAATGGCAGATATCGTAGTAATGCCCTTTTGGGTGTTACAATGGATGGCCCTTTCTATTATTCTTTTAAGAAACTTTATGCTGGTCAATAATGGTAATCCCAAAGAAATGTGGTATAAGAGTAAGATCGAATATTGGAATCAGGAAGTATATAAGATATATCATATATGTCAGATTGGGAATGAAGAATATTGAGAGTTGAGGCACTTAAGGAAGTGCAAAAACTTATTCTGGTTTGAAAAATCCTCTCACTTTCCTTTTTGATTATCGATGATGAAATCAACCTTTTGTATACATAGAAAATGATTGATCTGCAAATGTTGTAATAAGTGATAGATCCCAGTATCTCTCAAGCACATTGAAGTGATGGTAGACAAATATCTTTCACATATCATCCTGTGACAGTAGTTTTTTGAGAAATGATACCAAAAGAAGTCTTTAGGTGTTATTTGATATTATAATGGCATAACACCAGGTTTTAAATCTTTAATTGAAGGTGCCGGCCCTCAGTGTGAGGCATGGTGGGGTCAAGAAGCCTAAGCCAGAGGCAAAGGCCAAGCCCAAGCTAAGTAGGACCCATGGTACTGACACGGCATTGACACAACTCTCAAGTAAGGCCAATACTGCTGATATGGCACTGACAGAACGGGCCTCAAAATCCAAACGGCCGCCTCCTAGTGGGTCCAGTAAGGCTGATGTGGCAGCTAATGGGGAACATTCAGAGTTGGACACTGAGGGGAGTAGGAAGAGTGATTTTTCAGAGCCTGACATGTGGGTGGAGCATGTATTGGCTGTTTCAACAGCTCATCGAGTACCTAGAGAAAAGAAGCCCAATCGAAGTACGATGAGGAATTTGAGCCATGTTGAATCAAGGTAATAAGTCGGCTAGAAAATAAAACCTTTGATTGCTTAATTTGCAGTTTTAAACTAAACAGAGTATATTATAATCCCAAGGACTTCCAATTTACCATAGGCCCTAAGAGTCATCAGCATTTGTTGAATTGATGGGTGATAATGGAGAGAGCGCAACCCAGGAGAACATGTCATGACCCTGATGGGAGGTTTCGTTCTCTCACTCCATCACTATGTATCATTTAATGGCCAATGAAGGCCCCAAAGGTTATAGTTTTCCCAAGATCCTTAGGGAAAAATCCCTCCTTTTATATTTTTCTATACCATCTTTGTGGCAAATTGTTTTCAAGATTTACCAGTTCTTTCTTGTTTTATGATTTTGTGAGAGTATGTGTCACTTGTAGCCACTCTAATGGAAGGGACAATCTTCATAAGAAGAATGAATACTCAATTGGATTATTGGATCTTGCAGAGTCTTAGCTTCAATGGTGGACCCATTCTCAAGCACTAAACATGAGAATAAGCCATCAAATGATATCACTCGTCATGGGAGAGAGGGTGCAGCTTCCATCCCTGATTTGAGGCGCAGTCGCTCTTCACCTCGAGGAAAATTCACTTTCCTATGAAATGAATCTTGCTTTTCCATCCTCTAGTCGATTATTCTTCCCTTAACACTAGATTGTTTTTTGCCTGCTCATTATAGTGTGCCACATTTTTCCCTTCAAACATGTCATGGCACAAATCTTCTGCCTTTATTGCACTTTTTTTTTTGTAATATTTTCAAATTGCTTTCTTGTCAATATAAATTATTTATTCTGTGTATATTAGAGCATTGATTATATAAAGAATGGTCTCTATATAAAATTGCTTGGTTTTCAATTATCTCTAATGTTAATTTTGACAGCCTGTTTATGTAGAGTGTATTATGGAGCTTAAGTTCCCTTGGCTGTCCACATGTACATAGTGAGTGCGTTTCTCTTTGGTTACCAATTGTAGGCACATGAGCTGCAGTAGTGCTCAAAATAGCGGAGTTATTTCTGCTTTTTAATTTGGTTTTCTAGAAATGGCTCATGAAAGCTTACGCATTGATATTTCTCATACTAATTTGAGGAATATCAGAACATTGAGAGTAAATAAGTCAATTAACTGAAGAATCGTGCATCCTCATTGCAGTCTTAATTGATTTTGCTTTTAATGGAGGGAAGTTACCATTTCTTACCAAAAGAAATGTCAATTGAATTTGAGATAGAAATCTGTAAGGACTGTACAATTGACACATTTAACAACAAAATAATTCGCAGAGTGCAATTAGCCCTTTTCAGTAGGAATCGTAATGTCTTGCAAGCAAAGGTTGTTACTCTCAAAATTTGTCTCGTGAATTATGGAGGAAATTGAACAAGTTCATTAGAGAGCCTGCTAATATAACAGAAAGTGCAGTTGAACGAAGAAAATAAAGAAAAATTTAAATAACCAAACAAACTCTCTCACTTCAAGCCATTGACTGTGATTCAAGACAACATGATGCGTGCTATAGTTTCAACAACATATAGATCAAAACCATTCACTCAAATATTAAAATGAATATTCTACATACCTATCATTTTATTCATTGTCTTTGTTGGCTCGCTTGGCGAGTCAATACGCAGCAGAAACACAAAATTAATCTCAAAAGCATACATAGATCTGATAGATATTCCATACCTCTCAAAGCCTGACCACCTTTTATGTGGATTTTCTTCCCCTCACGCTCACAGGTACTTCTTTTCAAAAAGATGTTGTTAACCTTAACCAGTCTCTTGATTACTGGAACCATAACTTGTGTAAATGGTACATATCCTTCGCGAGCTTTGATGGAGATGGTCCGAGAGTTCCTTGCCTATTCTCACTTTTTGAAGAGAGAGGAAAAAAGAAGGAGCAGGGAGCCACATGGGGGCCTAGGAGAGAGAAGTGCACGGGTGTCTAGGGAGTAGAGCACCACCTCTTTCTCTCCTTTCTTATGTACTAAAGGTCCCTCCCTCTCAGTTTTCCTACCTTGAAAATTGGAAGACACTTAGATCCCTTATCATAATCAATTTCAATGGGATTCACTTAGAATCTTCTCTATCCAAAGGTAGAAATGGATTGGGATCTCCAAAATTGCTACCCAAATCATTTCTATCTCATTATCAATACTAACCTTTCGATATTCCAAATCATGTCGGAGTTTCCCACCCACAAAGGGTGAACCACGTAAACCAACAATCTTAAATGCTTAATGAAACCACTTATCATTTGCCGGTTCAAAGTAGGATCTTACATGTTATAGAGTATAGACAACAAAAATGAAAGAAATTGTTGAGAGGATGATGCTCCAATCTTGAACCATATGTGGAACGGGTATCAACTGTAAGAAGGGGAAAGTATAATATGGTCTAATGGGCTACTCAAACCCAAAGACCCTCGGGCCATGACAGTCCGGTGATATGGCAAACTACAATGGCGAGGGGGTGGGACCCACTAGAGCAAGAATGACCACTATGGTGGGTCTTAGTCTCTCTCCACTACTATGCATCATTTCATCAGACGGTTATGACCCTAAAGGACTATAGTTTTGCACAGTCCACTAGAATACAGTGTACATATATCTTTTACCTTATAAAAATTCAATGTTAGGGATATATCGGACCTTATAATGATCTTCGCCAACATCTTGGTGCAACCTCTCTACAAACTTCATCGGCATGTGGGAGAACTCTAAGCCTTTGAGGCGCTCAAAGCCTTGTGGCAACATTCTCAATTTTGTACCCAACCGAATCCTTAGAAAAAGAAGGCCAGGCATGGCTCTCTCCTCCACTTCACCCCATTCTTCTAACCCCTCCATTGCATAAAGAACAAGACTATTTAGATTGGGAAAGCCTCTTGCCCTGCAACCTCCTAGTCTCTTCCCTGTGTAGGCTGTCCACAAAATAAGGACGGCAAGATTTGGCAGAGCTTGCAGGGGCATGAATGGGTCCTCACTTAACTTAGTGTTGCATAACCACAACTTGGTGAGGCTTCCAAGAGATATAAATGAACTTGGTAGCTTCTCTAACTGCTCGTCTATCCGTAGCTGTTCAAGAGAAGATGGAAATATCTCTAATTTGAGACTATCCTCATTGATGGTCACCAAATCCAGATAGAGGAGGTTGCGCAGACTCCCAATGGAGGCTGCTAACTCCTCCCCATCTTCTTTTCTCACTCCAGCCATATGTAAACAGCGGAGCTCAGTCAACTTCCTTACCTGTCTAACTAGACCATCTTTTGCCACTATACTTGCCAAGGTTTGCAGGTTCCTTAGACACCCAATTGCCAAAGGTTCATCAGAATGTACATTGTTCGTGGAAAAAAGATGCCTCAAATTTACTAATCTTGAGATCCATTTTGGTAGGTTAACTACTTGTGTCCCCATTAGAACTAGAGTCCGAAGATTTTGGAGGTTTTGAAAGGTCACTGGAAGCTCCCCGATCAGACAATCTAAGTGCAAATACCTCAAACTTACCAAATTTCCAATTTCGGACAAACCCATGATTGAAGAATAGCTTTCTATATGCAGCACACGCAACAACGTGAGCTGAGGGAATATATGGTCCATGAAAGGAGGAGCTAACCAGCTGATTTCAAACTGCATGAACGAACGAACCCTATCCAGGCTATGGTTGGGTACATGATGAAAGGTACTATCAACGAGAGAGAGGCGACAGGGCTTCTCTTTAAGTATGGCCCCGCTTGCACTTAGATTTCATTGAATTTCTCCTCCTTGGATATGAAGAGCCCAAGCTCGCGCATACAATCATGGACCCGACACCTCTCCACTGTCCAATTGAGCTTCTCTACTTGAGCAATTTGAAGCATGTTTCTATCTAAAAGCTCTGTTAGATAATCTTTAGCCACATCCTCCATTGTTTTTCCTTGCTTTTCTTCAACAAATCCTTCTGCAATCCAATGTCTCTGTCCAAATCTCGTAATCTTCAGGGAAAAAACAGCAGCACAAGAAGCACGACTTGAGGCGAGAGGGTAAGTCCTCATAGCTCAAAGAAAGCACTCTTGAGAGTCTATCATCCCCTTCATTTGACTCCCAATTGTAATCATCTAGAATTCTTTTCCATGCTTGCGGGGTTCTTGCTTGCCTCGACATGAGGCCTCCCATAACCACAATAGCTAGTGGCAAGCCTTCGTATTTCTCCAAGAGCTTCTCAGCCAAGGCCTGTAACTCTTCTGGGCAGCTTCCTCCGTTACTGTTAAAAGCCTTCTTGTGAAAGAGCTCTTGAGCATCTTTCTCTCTCAAAGGCTCAATTTCATGAATCGCCTTCTTCACTGAAATTAACTTCGCGTTACGGGTAGTGATTATAGTCCTACTCTGGCGTCCACCTTCAATTAGGGTGACTCTCATGTTCTCCCACACCAATGGATCCCATACATCATCCAAAACCGCCAAATACTTTCTCTCTCTACAATAGTCCTTAAGCCTCTCTATGATTTGCCCATCACTCATTGAATCCAAAACATCTTTCCTGAATTCTCTCAAAATGGATTTGAAAACCTCCATGATTCCATAAGTTTGGGAAACTGTAACCCAAGCATAACGATCACCAGAGTGGTTTTCCCTGCACCACCCATACCAAACACTTTAAGCTCCAGCTCCTCATCCAACAAGAATTTGCTTAATTTTTCGACATCTTTATCGAAACCCACTATATCAGCTTCCTCTAAGTATGAAGAAACAATTCGAACCTCTTGCCATTTATCAGTTGAGATTGATGCTTCTCTTATTGGGTTTTCGAGCTTGTACGTTGACTTTCGTTTGGAGATATCGACGATCAGGCTTTTGATCCTTCTGATCTCTCCACCCACTTGGCGCCTAAGTCTACACTGCTCAATCAATTCTTTGATGCTGCAAAACTGAGGAGGGAGGAAGGGGGAGGAAACCTTTAAGCTGGCGATTCTTCCTCTCTCTCTTCAATTGGAGAGTTTCCACTTGGATCGTGAATTTGTCGAGGATTTCTTCTGCTTCATATGCTGCTTCTCTTACTTGAACTACCCAAGTCTTTGCAACCTCATCATTCTCTCTTCTTCTTTCAGAGCATCCTTTAGATAGGATTGCATGGCGTCCAACTCTTTCCGGAGCCATTCTAATTCTTTGCGCGAGAAGAGCTGTGCTTCTTCAGACAAGAGGTCGAAGAGTTTCTCGAGCAGGAAGGTCACTACTGCATCTGCCATCTCTCTCTAGAATGGTGGTACTGCTAAACACTAAGGAGCAAGTTTAGGACAGCATCTGCCATCTCTCTCTCAAGCATCTGCTGGTCTCTCTCTCAATCGATCTCCCTCTCTCTCTCTCAAGCATCTACCATCTCTCTCTCTAGAATGATGGTACTCAGTGCTAAACACTAAGGGGCAAGTTTAGAACATCGTCTGGCATCTCTCTCTCAAGCATCTGCTGGTCTTTTTCTCAATCCATCTTCCTCTCTCTCTCAAGCATCTACATCTTTCACTCTCTGGTGTTGACTTTTTTTCCCACCACCTGTAAATGTCATAAATTACACGACCAATTGACTTTTTCTCTCTAATCCATTGTCCAGAAACCATTATTGTCCCTGAAAGTCACAAAAAAATCCATTATGTGAGATGTAAAATCACATTGCGAATTGTTCGTCCAAGGGCCAATAATAAATCTCTTTTTTTAGGTTTTGTTTTTTATTTAAAAATAATTTTAATCAAATTTTTTAGCCCACCTCAAAATTTTCATAAGAAGAGGTGGTTTTGATGGTTAAATATCCTCAAATTGATCATCTCAACGTCAATATGCATAGACATGAAAAAATAAATATATTTCAAGTTTTGAAAATAGTATATTTTTGAACCATCAATTTTCAAGATGTTCAAGGGAAATGGATTAAAGTTGTTGTGATAGGAACCTATGCTTTAGTTATCACATTGTTGGTTTCCATTCTCACCAATAATATCATCCCACTAATACCTTCAAAAAAGCTAACTTCAAATATGCTTGAATAAAAAGATAAGGGCCGCAGCTTGTCTTCCCCACAAAATTCCCCTAATTTTTCTTTTTTCAAGATTTTCATATATCTACACCATATTCGAAGCTCCAAATTTAACAATTAAAGATGAAAATATATTTTAAGGCTATCACAAAGATTTTCAGTATCGAAACCACATTTCTTGATACTATTTGAATGTGCACTCTCTCAAGCACCTGTCGGTCTTAGTATTGCTTCAGGTGCCTAATTATTTTATCAGAAACCCAATTATGCTTATAATATTTTTTATATTTTTCCTTTTTTACGTGATAATATAAAAAACAATACATATAAATTTTAAACATTTTTTTTCAATTTTTGGGTTTTTTTTTTAGATTTTTTTACCAAAATTGCATGTTTCAAAAACAATCGGGGCACCAATCAGCGGATCTAGTCGGAATCGGTTGGATTAATTGGATGGGGCCAAGACCCGATCTGTTGTTTTGAATAATAGGTTGCAACTAACATTTAGGATCACTGCATCTCAAGTTTGATTCCTACTACTCAAGGGCCCGTTTAGCTTCCTCAATCATGGGGAAAAGTATATCGTATTGGAGTTGGTATTTATTGGAGTTGACATTTACTAGAATATGTATGTATGTTGTTTGCATATTATATGGTAGAGATTAGAAAAATGCAAATTCACTGTTTAGATAGCCTGGAATATATTTTTTCTGAAAATTTTAATTTTTTATAAATTATTAAAATTAAACATTTCAAATGTTCTTATTATTGAATCTTTTTTCTGGAGTGTTTGTCCAAGTAAGGTGAGTTAAAAATTATGAGTTATATTATATATATATATATATATATATATATATTTATATATATTATTTTATGATTTACATCTCTTAAAACCCTTGACATCCAGAATGGGTGTGAACATCAAAATGAATCTTAAAACCCTTGACATCCAGAATGGGTGTGAACATCAAAATGAATACTTCACCAAAACTTTGTATCTACCAATATATCTTTTGCCTGTTGACATTGGGAAGCCGCATGGATTTCTTAGTAGAGGTGCGCCTCCCTCTCTTCACTAATTTTCTACATTATTTTCTCCCCGAGTGTACTTAAACCCATGAGAGTTTGTCTTCAGATTACTCTCTACGGTTTTAGGGTTTCTCATAAACCCAATCCAAACTATAGTTAGCAGGGACTATCAATAAATCGGTTCATCATAAACTTGGAAATAATTTGTTTTTATTTTTAATAGTCAGATGAAAAAATCGAGTAAAAAATACGAATAATACTTCATATAAAGATACCGTTAATATATCAGATTACGTTAAAAAAATTGGAGTAAAAAAATTGGATAAATTTATAATATTAGAAATTTTGAAATTTTAAATAATAAAAATTGTGTCAAAACCATTAATAACTAATTCATCAATAAAAACGTTACTAGACTAATATAATTAAGTCAATTAATTTAGATGATTCGAGACTGTCATCCAATCGTCAAATATTAAATACATAATTAACTAGTACATACAAAAAAAAAATGTACTACATAAATCTACCCATTAAATACTTTAAAAAACACACAACTACTTATCATGTACCAAAAACAAATAAATTTATTTATTAAATATTTTTAACTATAGTATGGTGACAAATATACTATATAAATTTATTCATTATAGTATGGTGACCAATATACGATATAAATTTATTCATTATAGTATGGTGACAAATATACTATATAAATTTATTTATTAAGTACTTAGTGATCCAATACAACGGTTGTATCATAGTATAATGCAACGACATTTATATAAAACCATATTTGTGATATTTGTATGACCCCAAATTTTGCACATATACTCTCTTCATCTCAATAATCAATCTCCCCAAAAAAAAAAGTTCAATTTGAATCCTAGAAAAGGTCAAAATGAGTCATCTCCAAAAACAAATCTAGACCATTCATTTTGTGAATTTCAAGATCTTAACATTTATAGACTCAAAATCTTAATCTTTTTTTTTTTTTAACATTGTTCAATGATAATAAAACTGTCCAAAACAATTGAAAATGAAATAATCTTTTTAAGACTTACATCTAAGCATCTTATCAAAATGAACGGTCTATATTAATTGGATTAAAAAAATATTTTTTTAATTATATTTTCAAATTTATTTATTTTTTTTGTGACCGTTAAATTGAATAAAAAAAAATATATATTTCAAAATTTAGATCAAACAGTCATAAAATAAATTTTTAGCCTCGTTGCATCATATTCTTATACAACGATTACATGATATCATTGCTCATACTTAAACATCACACCAACCTAACATCATTGCTACTCAGCAGGCTAAAAAAATACACGATTTTTTTTCTACCATGGTCACTCCCTATCTATGGTTAAAGTTTTATAAGTTTATTTAGTTGAAACTTGAAAACAGGCTCGTAGAAATTTTGGGTTTCACATCTCTCTGTGTCTACGGTTTGGAGAGAGAAGAAGGAAGAGAAGAAATTAGGGCTGGCTCATAGGTATTAGGGTTTATAGAGAGGGAAGAAAAAAGAAGAAGAGGTCATCGGCTTCACACACCCTGGAAGAGGCCCTCACTGATTTTTAGAGAGAGAAAAGGAAGATGGGATGCTGATTTGGGATAGTTTGAAGAGGGTTTTTCTCTGTGATTTTCTCTGATTTGGGATGTTGTTTGAGAGAAAGTCCTAACTATACTGATTTGTGAAGACGCCCTAACTGATTTTGAGAGAGAGAGAAAAGGAAGAGGGTTTTTTATTTTCTTGGGGAAACAGCAAGCAGAGCTGAAGGATTAGGTTTGGGGAACTAATCCTATATGTACAATTGCTTGCTCCGGTAAGTTTACAGTTTACACTATATTGTTTATCTTTGTTATCACATAATAAAAAACAAAATATTGCTTACTTAGTCCTGTAGTCACACTCTCTGCTTCTCATTCATCAGTAAAAGACTATGTTTTGAGCTCTAATTTGTGCCATAAACGGTATTTTCATAAAAACAATTATCACACAAATAATCACCGAAGTCTGCATGTATATGATTTTCTTTACACAATGATTTGCTATAAACAGTATTTCATTTACACAATGATTTTCCATTATAACAACTGAAATCTGCATCTATTTGTTGAAGTTTAAAAAAAAAGAGAAAAAAAAAATTCATACCTTCAATCTGCAACAGTGGCTTTGAAGAACACGGTGGGGATAAAAATTTCTATTGTAGGTTTCTTTTGAAATAATATTTTATTTCAAAAGCATGAAAGTAGCAATGGCTGCAATACACAAAACAGGAAGAAAAAAAAAAGAAAGAAAGATTATAGGTAAAAAAAGATACGATTTTTTGGCCTGATTTGCTAACTATGATCCAAACTGATATTAATGGAAAAAAAGCATTTTTACCCTACAGATATCAACAATGGTTAGTTGAATCTATTGATTTTTCTTTTTTTTCTCAAACTCCTTTATTTCTTGGGAAATTCTCATTTTCCATAATTTTTCTTTCTACTGATTTGTTTTTCTTCTTGTTCGATCACTGTAGAAATGGGTGAGTGCGACTCCCGTGAAGCATAAGAAGTTGTGAAAGCTATGTTTCTATTTTATATGATATTTTTTGTTTTCTTGGGTTACTGATTTTGGTTAATTTGATTGTGAAGTCCAAAATCAGGTACACCAGTGGCAAAAATTGCGGATTTAGGTTTAAATTTTTATGGATTTAATTATTTCCTCATCTTGTACCTTCACTATGAATTTTTTGGTTAATTTTTATGGATTTAATTTTTTAATTATTTCTTGTAAATTCTAAGGAAAGACCAAATCACGATAACAAATGTATTTGCGCAATATGGGTAAAATTAAGGTTTGGATTCTGAAACTTCTTTTATTTATTTCTTAATTAGTTGCTTGCATCTTCAGTTAGCTTTTTATCCCTATTTCTCTCTCTGCAAATACACAAATTAGACATTTATTTCTTAATTAGTTGTTTGCATTTTCAGTTAGCTTTTTATCCCTATTTCTCTCTCTGCAAATACGTAAATTAGACTTGTGGATCGCCATCACTATTGTATAAACGTTAACCTTCTATAGGAAAAATAAAATGAAAACAAAAAAACACACAACAATTGGATTTAGGGTTCTATCTGTAATTGGAGTAGTGTTAATTTTTTTTGCATTCTTTGTTTTAGGTGGGGCTTTCTTTCTCCTCCTGTGATTTCTTTCAGCACTCTCTCCATTCTATCGAAGAAACCCTAAAGCTATTTGACATTGAACAGAAAACATGGTTTTTGTAAGACTTTTTGACAATAGGACTTTGGCCTTGGACTGCCCCCCTCATTCCACTGACCTCAGAACCCTAAAACTCGTGGTGGAAGCCAGAGTGGGAATCCCTGCCTCCCTACAGCGCTTTCTCTTCTCCACATCGATGCTCCTCCATCAATGTCCAGGGGAGAAGAAGCTTTCGGAAATGGGTATTCTTTGTGATTCCACCCTCATGCTTCATCTTCCTCTTATGGGGGGAATGCAAGCTCCAGTTGTCCCCAAGCCCCGGCTCGAATTCCTTAACACGAAACCTCCACCGAATTACGTGGCTGGTCTCGGTCGAGGTGCCACTGGCTTCACCACCCGGTCTGATATTGGCCCTGCAAGAGCTGCCCCTGACCTTCCGGACCGCGCGGCCACCACCATCGGTGGGGCTGCCATTGGGCCGCCAGGGGGCATTGGCCGTGGTCGAGGGAGGGGTGCAGGTGGCCCTGAGGATGAAGAAGATGACGAGGCTGATGAGAAGGGCTACGACGAGAACCAGAAGTTTGACGAGTTCGAGGGGAATGATGTTGGCCTTTTTGCATCAGCGGAGTATGATGAGGATGACAAGGAGGCGGATGCGGTATGGGAGAGCATCGACAAGCGCATGGATTCGAGGCGGAAGGACCGGAGGGAGGCGAGGTTGAAGCAGGAGATTGAGAAGTACAGGGCTTCCAACCCCAAAATCACTGAGCAATTTGCTGATTTGAAGAGGAAGCTACATACTATGTCGGCGCAGGATTGGGACAGCATACCAGAGATTGGGGACTACTCTCTGAGGAACAAGAAGAAGAGGTTTGAGAGCTTCGTGCCAGTTCCTGACACTCTGCTTGAGAAGGCTCGTCAAGAGAAAGAGCACGTCACCGCCCTCGAACCCAAGAGCATGGCGGCCGGTGGGACAGAGACCCCATGGGCACAGACCCCTGTGACTGACCTCACAGCGGTGGGTGAAGGAAGGGGCACCGTTTTGTCATTGAAGTTGGATAGGCTATCTGATTCAGTGTCGGGTTTGACGGTGGTGGATCCCAAGGGGTACCTGACCGACCTCAAGAGCATGAAGATCACCAGTGATGCTGAGATTTCAGACATCAAGAAGGCGAGGTTGTTGCTGAAATCTGTGACGCAGACTAATCCCAAGCACCCCCCTGGATGGATTGCAGCCGCAAGGTTGGAGGAGGTCGCTGGCAAGATCCAGGCAGCGAGACATCTGATTCAGAAGGGGTGCGAGGAGTGTCCCAAGAATGAAGATGTGTGGCTCGAGGCATGTAGGCTGGCGAGTCCTGATGAAGCCAAGGCCGTGATCGCGAGGGGTGTCAAGTCGATTTCCAACTCGGTGAAGCTGTGGATGCAGGCAGCAAAATTGGAGCATGACGACGCGAACAAGAGTAGGGTGTTGAGAAAGGGGCTCGAGCACATTCCCGATTCTGTGAGGTTGTGGAAGGCAGTGGTGGAACTTGCTAACGAGGAGGATGCGCGACTGTTGCTTCAGAGAGCCGTTGAGTGTTGTCCTCTTCATGTTGAGCTGTGGCTTGCACTTGCGAGGCTTGAGACCTATGACCAAGCAAAGAAGGTTCTCAACAAGGCGAGGGAGAAACTCTCTAAAGAGCCAACCATTTGGATAACGGCCGCGAAGCTTGAGGAGGCGAATGGGAATACTGCCATGGTGGGGAAGATCATTGAAAGGGCCATCAGATCTTTGCAAAGAGAAGGAGTGGTCATTGACAGGGAGGCTTGGATGAAGGAGGCAGAGGCAGCGGAGCGTGCCGGTTCAGTAGCAACTTGCCAGGCTATAATTAAGAACACTATCGGTATCGGCGTGGAGGAAGAAGATCGCAAGAGAACTTGGGTTGCCGATGCTGAGGAATGCAAGAAGAGGGGCTCTATTGAGACTGCCAGAGCAATCTACGGCCATGCGCTTACTGTGTTCTTGACAAAGAAAAGCATATGGCTCAAGGCTGCACAGCTCGAGAAGAGTCATGGGACCAGAGAGTCCCTCGATGCCTTGCTGAGGAAGGCTGTCACGTATAGACCACAGGCCGAGGTGCTTTGGTTGATGGGTGCAAAGGAGAAATGGCTGGCGGGTGATGTGCCTGCTGCCCGAGCGATCCTGCAAGAGGCATATGCTGCAATTCCTAACTCGGAGGAGATCTGGCTTGCCGCCTTCAAGCTTGAATTCGAGAATCATGAGCCTGAGAGAGCGAGGATGCTTCTTGCCAAGGCGCGAGAGAGGGGAGGAACCGAGAGGGTCTGGATGAAGTCAGCGATCGTTGAGAGAGAGTTGGGGAATGTTTCTGAGGAGAGGAGGTTGTTAGAGGAGGGGTTAAAACTCTTCCCATCCTTCTTCAAATTGTGGCTCATGCTTGGGCAGCTGGAGGAACGCATTGGTAACCTGGAGAAAGCCAAGCAAGTGTATGAATCGGGTTTGAAGCACTGCCCAAACCCGACTTCTGTTCCCCTGTGGCTCTCTGTTGCTAATGTGGAGGAGCGTATGAATGGGCTCAGTAAAGCAAGGGCAGTCCTTACAACTGCTAGGAAGAGGATCCCTCAAAACCAACATCTTTGGTTGGCCGCCATTAGAGCAGAAGCCAGGCATGGGAAGAAGAAGGAAGCTGACGTCCTTTTGGCAAAGGCATTGCAGGAGTGCCCCACGAGTGGGATCTTGTGGGCAGCTTCCATAGAGCTGGCTCCTCGACCCCAGCGCAAATCTCGGAGTTCAGAAGCTGTGACGCGATTAACTCAGGATCCATACGTGACTGCAGAGGTGGCCATTCTGTTCTGGCAGAAAAGATCAATTGACAAGGCCCGGACTTGGTTTAACAGGGCAGTCACACATGACCCTGATATTGGGGATTCTTGGGCCCTATACTACAAGTTTGAGCTTCAGCATGGGACTGAGGATAGCCAGAAAGATGTCCTCGATCGATGCGTCTCTGCTGAGCCGAGGCATGGACCGAGATGGACGCAGGTTTCTAAGGCCATTGAGAATTCTCATCAGCCAATCGAGGCTATCCTAAAAAAGGTGGTAGTTGCCTTGGGGAAAGACGAAGGATTTGTGGTCCCTGAATGTAAATATTAAGATAGTGTTGGTGTGGGACATTTGTTCTTCCATGCTTTCTACATTTTCTTCTTTTGTAGCTTATGGTATCCTTTTTTTTAAAACAATTTTACTTACTATGACTAGTGCAGAAGAGTGTTTAGTGATGCTGAGGTGGGGTTTGGAATGTAGATGAAATAGATTGTTTTTCCATGGTCATATGACTGCTACAGATGAAACTGTTCTTGCAAGAACCTATTTGGTTAAGTTTCATTTCTTTGTTGCATTGCCGATCTCATGCATACGTCTATGTTGTTCATCACGTGGTACATGTGTGCAAATATCTCTTGAATGGATCTTTATTTATTGTTTAGTGAAGAATATCTGCTGTTCTTGTTTTTTCATGCGTTATTGCTCCTTTTTTAAGTGCTGTTGTTTCTCTAGACTCTAGTATGAGTATTTTTATTTAATTATTTTTTCAAATACATTGCTGGCATTTTGAGTCACTTGTACATCAATCTAGTCCTTCTATTTATGCCCTTGTTTCTTCTTGTTTTCCACCCTTTAGATGTTCTAAGTTGTTGGTTGCATTGTTGTTGATAAAGAAGAAAGCTGGTTTGTTGCTTTTTCTTAATTCGTACTGTTGAAGATCTGGTTGAACTTTCTTTCTATTGATTATGCTATCTTGTACACCCTAGTTTGAATGATCTACACGCTGCTGCTCATTGTATTAAGTTGCTCATATTTTGTTTTTAGGTACCTCTGGTTTCTTCTTGAATTGAATAATGATCAGTATCCTTTAGAGCTTCAAATCTGAATGGATGCTCATCTATGGGTCATAAGGGTTGTATTTCTCTCAATGCGTTGTCATGGTCCATACTATCTTCTCTCGTGGTTTGACCTTTGTTTTTGATCTAATATAAACTATCTGGTGTTCTGATTTTCTCCAAGTCTTGTTTTCTTTCTTGATATATTTATATTGCTCTCTTATTTGAATGTCTCTTTTTAATACATTGTATGTGTCTTGAATGTCTTTGTGCATTAATCTAGTCATCCTACTTAAGCTCTGGTTTCCTTCTTAATTGATTTTTGTGGAATGCGGGCTCCAAGGATATGAGGTGATGGTTAGTTCCACTTGTCAGCACAATGACATTGGCTTCACCCCATTGGTGGGAAATCTATCTTTGGGGATTTCATGGGGCCCCTCCCCCCTACTCCCGTGGCCACAGATAAAGCCAGAAGTTATTAACACACATAACATTAGTAGTAGTGGTAGTAGGAGTAAAGTTTGCAGGAGAGGAGAAGAAGCGCAGACCCTGCTCTGTAGCGGAGCTGGTGGTTGGGAGTGAGTGTTTGAGGTAAAATTTTGAAAGACGATGGCAGCCACTGCAGCTATACCCACGGCGACCCCATTCCTAAGTGGAGGCAGCACGTGAAGAGCGCAATGGCTCAGGCAGCCAGGCGGCTTGCTGCTCTGGGGAGGCTCTTCTAGTCGGCAGGTGGTGGTCGCGGCGGCTGGTGCTGCTAAGAAATCTTGGATCCCTGCTGTCAAAGGAGGTAGCAACTTCATCGACCCCTAATGGCTCGATGGCTCGTGAGTACACCACTCACCACCGACCTTTTCCTTTTCTTCTCTCTCAATTGTAACAATCAGCAACACAGATATTTGATGCATGTGATTGCAATTAAGACGATGAAAACTGTTTTTAATTTCAAAAGAAATAAATCATTCACATTTAGAGATTAGAGGTTATGTTTCCGAAGAAGGCTAATAATCCATGAGAACAACTATTTATGTGTACATCATCGACAACTTTCAAGTTTGAATTAAGTATTTGTTGATGATTTCTATAAAAGAAAAAATATTTGTTGATAATTACATATTTCTATATAAATAACAACAAAGGAAGTACTTGTTATAGGAAGAGGACACCTTTTTAGTCCGTATATTATCATTTGATGTCCTTATCCACATGAATTACAAGGAGCACCCCAACACACACAATAGCTGAGAGTATTATTATCTGGGAAATTAATCCCTAAATTTCTTCCGACAGACTTCCAGGTGACTATGGGTTTGATCCCCTGGGGTTGGGCAAAGACCCTGCATTCCTAAAATGGTACAGAGAGGCAGAGCTCATCCATGGGCGCTGAGCTATGGCAGCGGTGGTCGGGATCTTTGTGGGCCAGGCATGGAACGACATCCCATTGTTCAAAGCTGGTGCCGACCCTGGTGCCATTGCCCCCTTGTCGTTTGGGTCCTTGCTTGGGACGCAGCTGCTGCTGATAGGATGGGTGGGAGAGCAAGAGGTGGGTCGACTTCTTCAACCCCAAGTCACAGTCGGTGGAGTGGGCGACACCATGGTCGAAGACTGCCGAGAACTTTGTCAATGCCACTGGTGAGCAGGGGTACCCCGGGGACAAGTTCTTCAACCCTCTGTCTTGCTAGAACCATCCAGGATGGACAGTAGATCCCAGACACAGAGAAGCTCGAGAGGCTGAAGTTGGCCGAGATAAAGCATGCCCGCAACGCCATGCTCGCAATGCTCATCTTCTACTTTGAGGCCAGACAAGGCAAAACCCCTCTCGGAGCCCTCGGATTGTAATCTCTAAACATTACCACTAATCTTCATCTCCATTCACAATCCTTCCTCCTTTGTATTTCACAGTGTTTTATGTGTTTGTGTTTGGTGAGCCAGCCATCTTGCGGACAGCATTGCATTTTTTTCTTGTGTGATTCTCTGTGAATATTATCATGTAACAAAGTAGTGGTTCACCTTTTCTTATTAGGAGGCCAGTGTCTTCTCTCTTTCTACATACTTATGTGTTATGAGTCTATGTACAAGAGTTTAAAACCTTTTAAGCAACTTATTTAATTTTCAATTCCAAGCTTAAAAGTATTAAAATTAGGTGTATACCAAGGCAAACTTGCTCTTCTCACTAGAATTCTAGTTGAGAGCTTTGGCTCTGAAGAAAAATGTCAATAAAGGCGATCACATCACCTCAAATAAATAATCATTCACGGCTTAAACCAATCAATTAACATGGGCGATGCTATTTTATAGGATAATTATACAAAGAGACTTGTTATGTCAAGTACATGGTGGTCAAAATTAACAACTAGATGTGAAATTATATAGTTGTATTTGTTTCATTTACCATGCTCAAACTTTAAAAAAAAATCTCAAACTCTGTAGCACATCCAAGCCATCAGACTTCACATCAAAGGGTTAGTAAGTAATTGTGACCTTTTTGTATGAAAACGTAAATGGTCTCATTATACACAATTCTTAATATATAAGGTTCATTTTATCTACATTTTCCTCTTCTTTTTTTTCTTAAATGTCCTGATTGCCTCTGCTCTTTGAAACCTAGAAAATGTAGGAGCTTTTTGGTAATTTAGTTCAGATTACATTAGGTATCCTTCTTGGCTGAAGGTTAGGAAAGCAGAACAAGAATTTTCCATGAAAAACAGTGAGTTCTCAATTCCTAACCTTGAACAATAGTGTGGACTGGTAACTTGAACCTATATATATAAAATGAAATCTAATGCCCGAACCTAGGACATATCTTCGTAGAGCGTATAATCCTTTGTCTTAGACGAGAACAGTGCAATAGTATCGAATACCTTTCACCTTAGCTTTTGAATTGGATTCAAGTGTAATACATGGCAATTCAAAATTGGCCTTCCCATAAAGTTTGGGAGGTGGCATTTAAGTGAGATATGATGGAGAGAGAGACGGAGTGTGAGATAGAAAGATTTAGGGGTATTTTGATCATTTTATTTTATTAAAAATCTTTGTGCATGACAACACCTCTATTGCTACTTTTGCGGTCCACCAAGACAAACACGATGTCTTTTGATAAAAAGGTTACCGTATTAGGAGGTCCCCTCAAACTCGCTTCATCCTCTTGGTCCTTATGGTATGGTTGACAATTGCTTGCATGGAACACAGGATGTATCTTCAATCTCTTAGGCAACTGGATCCAGTAAGCTGCCTTGCCCACTGGATCCTGTAAGTTGCCTTGCCAACCTTCCTTGTGGTTGGAAAAGATAGGGAAGGGCCCATAGCTTCTTACCAATCCCTTGTACACTTTCATGTATGCTTTTAGTTGGTTAGGTTGGAGCTTATCATCACCATGTCTCCAACAATTGAAGTAGACAAGTAATTTTCTTTTATACATGTGCCCCACTGAGATGATGACACATATTAAATTTCATATTCATATGATTCATACAAAAAAATTAAAAATAAAATACTCTGATGCATCAGATCTCGATCAAACTGGCAGTAGCTCACTTGATCTAAAATTAAACGATTGGATAAAAGGGGAGTATATAACTTACATATGGTAGGAAAAGTATAGAACGCTTTCCGTTAATTTAATGTCTAATTCATTAAAAGCCATCAAATTGCTATCTTGCAACTTGACCAGACTGACCTGCAAATTGGAGAAAAGCCAAATTACGTTGGTAGGTAGCTATCTTTACAAATTATGGAGTCTTTAAATGTCCATTATTATAATGATTAGTAATTTTGGTTAAGTTTTACCCTCCAATAAGTCTCCATTATGTATAAGGAAAAAGTTATAAGTAGAGTCCACTATTCTCTTGCGGTTTACCAAATATTTTCTCCCTCTGTAAATCCCTTTCTAAGAAATCGTACATTAATTAAGTTAATAAATAAATAAAAAAGTCGTACATTAATCTCGCAAGAAAATATATTTGGTGTCAGAAAATTTGCAAATTGATCATTTTGATTTTAGCTACCATAAAACTGGAAAAAGAAAGGGGAAAATTTGAGTAAATTTTTTTTTTTTTTTTGCACTCTTAAGCTATGGTTTATCTTTTTGGTCTGATGTTTCAAACATGAGACCGGTTTTTTACTTTTAAATTTAATTTTATTATTTTTTGGGCAATCCGATGCCTCAAATATTAGACCGACCCATATTTAGGGCCAGTTTGGTAGCTATAATATCGGATTGGCGCAACAAACATGTGGGGAAAAAAAATGTTGGTCATATGTTAGAGATATCGGATTGACCCAATTTTCTTCTTTCTTTTAAATGTAGTCTGATTTTAGTGACATTGGACCGATATACTACAAAAAGATAAAAAATACAAAGTATAGGCAATCTTATGTGTCCAACATTGAACAACCCCAAAAGTAATAAAAATAAAAAGGGTTGTATACTATGAAACGATTTATCTTTGCTACAAGAAGGTCACAAATACTTCTTGTCATTCCATGCCAAACTGAATGGCTTGAAGTGTCTCGTAAAGTT